CTCCTTCATTAACGGATCAAAATTAAAAAAAATTAAATTATAATTTTTAATTACGTGGCACTCAACCATTGGTTGCAATTTAATTATTTAAAATTATTTTAAACCCATCCATTTTAACTAAACCCGTCCCACTTGACCCAATTTAAAAAAAAACCCATCTAATTAAAAAACCCTAAAACCCTATTCCTCCAATTTTTACAACTTCCACGCTACTCCATTGTCTTCTTCTTCTTATTCATGAAGAAAATTTCAGCTTCTTCTTCGATTTCTTCCCCTGAAGAACTTCAATCTCGTACATGTAAGTGCAGATTTTTGGCAAGATATTATACTGCTACAACTCTTGAAAATGGTGGTCGTCGATTCTACAGATGTGATCGTATTGGGTCAAATTATTGTGGTTATTGGAATTGGATTGATGACAAACTTTCACGTCATGTGTCGACCATGATTCATAATAAAAAAGTTGAATTGGATTCAATTCGGAAAGAAAAAAAATCATTTGAAGAAGATTGTGGAGGATATGGGTGGCATTGGAGATTCTTATTTGAAGGATATGACTGCCGATGAAATGTCTGAGTTGAATGATATGAATGGAAATGAAATTTCTGATTTGACGAAAGTTTCTGCCTTGAAGGGGAAAATTGTCAAATTTGGATTTGATGGATAAAATTGAGAGTTCAAATATGAAGAAAGTATGTAGCTTGGATGAAAAAGTTTCGAAGTTAGAGTTGAAAGTTCATAAATTGATAAGTTTGCCTGCAGTTTCTTGGGCTATTATTCTTGGTTTTGCAGCTGCCAAGATGATTTAGTGTAGTGCTGTTGTTTGTGTTAAGTTAGTGAGCTGCATTTTATTTTGATTATTTGTGAAGATGATGTTGGTTGTTGTTGTGTCTACTAATAAAGATTTATGCAATATTGTTATTACTAATGATACATTGGTGTGTGCATTTTCTGGCAAAGCTACATTTGTTTTGATTGTTATGTTTACTACTTGATTGTTAATTTCTCATCAATTTGGCAGTAATTCAGTGATTGTTGCTTCCTCTGTTCAAAGGTGAAAGATATGAATTTCACTATAAACTTGTGACTTTCACTATAAGCTGCTAATAACCCAAACCAGAGGAAGATAAAAAAGACTACAAGAAAACCTACTAGCTAATACTTCCAATGTGTTTTCTTCCGTAAATATGAGTAAGATTTAGGAATGATTTTCCCTCTTATGGGTTGTCCTAATCAGAGGCTAAATTGTTTTGCCTTGCTCTAATTTTTCGCTTTCAATCCCCACACGGAAACTGTGAGAAATCACAGATTGGTTTACACTCTTTTTATGATGGTAGAAGCACATAATCAACACCAAGAGTAATGGAGCAATTAGCAGCTCAAACATAGCAACATAAAACATTTGTTGACTATCACTACCATCTATGTCAGGGTTAATGACACAGCCTAATGATACCTAATTAAATAAGGACTCTATTTGCTGAAAATCTGTCAAAATGCGGCGGGGTCGACGGACCATGCGACGGATTGTCGTGGTCACGACGGACCGTCATGACTTCTGTCTTCCCATACTTGTGCAATTTCTTCTGCTACTCTCCTTATTACCCTCGACGGTAGGTATGACAGATCGTCACAGGCACAACGGTCCGTCGAGGGTCTCCGTTCCAAAATACTTGAACTCTTGGAATTCGGGTACTGGGACTACTTCTCTGATCTTCATGACGAACCAGCAGGACGGACCGTCATGGTTACGACGGTCTGTCACACACGGAAAATTTCTTCTGCTG